GACAGCTTGTGACGGTGTAAATCTCAACTTATATTTAGTCGAGTAAGATTACTCTGCGTTCGACATATTTTTTTTTCTTACAACTCCCAGCTGTGTTGATGTGACTCATTCACACACGCTAGCTTACGACGACAAGAGGTACTTGAAATCACAGGACAGCGGGGTTGAAGAAAGTGTGACTAACTCGTTTATGAGGAAAATTTCATTACAGAACCCCCTCCCCCACCCCCACCATAAAAAAAAAATTTACAAAAAAATTTGTAACGGAGTACAAGTACTCCGGCACTCGTACTTACGTTACAATTTTCGGTACTTTTACTGTACTCCGGTACATTTTTGAGAACCAGTACTTTTGCTCTACTCCGATACCTTTTTATAAATGTACTTTGAGTATTTTAAAAGTACATTTTGAGTACTTTTGAAGCTTAATGAAAGAGTAAGTGCCGGCATTTCTGATCATAATTTACGGAACATCCGGGCGTGCACAGCCGATCAACCAAGAGTTAAAAGTTGAGATCAAAGAACGGCCAGTCGCGTCAAAGATCAGCTACTCTCGGGAATGTGATCACAAGCGTCGTAAAACTCCGTGAAATGGTACAATGTTTGCCCCAGACGGGATCACACTGAGGTGTGAACTGACCGATGCGTTTCTTTTCCCCAAACATCGCACTCGCATCTGAGCTCGCCACCTAACTTACATCACTCGCTGGGTGGGTAGGACTTACAAGTTCGCTCCAGGCAGTATCACATCGAGCTGTGAACTCTTCCCTGACCGTTGAAGGCAGTGAATGCAGTTTTTCTCTATTCTCGAATTTGTGAGACAGCCTGAATTTTAATTGGTGTTGTCACAACGTAATGGTGCATAACGACAAAGGCTGGAGGACTCAATCATAGATGGAATGCTAAAATTTTTGGACAGGTAAAGGGGAGGGGCAACTGGATAAACGTAGATAAGGATCTCGAGACTCACGATTGGCAAATGAGTGTGTGGCATGCCTCATGCCACTGTGATTGGTCATCAAGGTTGACCACTCTTTGCTCACCATATGTCATAAACCCACCCAGGGGTCACGTCAGTTCATGGGTCACTGTAGATTCTTCCTTGACTTCGTCTGCTAAGATCGCGTATTTTCCTTGCTCCCGAGCACTGGGATCTTAGGCGGAGACTACTGTAGTAGATAATCTTTGGTTACACTACATTTACTAGACTCTAGGAAACTACCTGCATTTTGGTTTGCCGTGGGCGCCGTGGACAACACAGTGTGACCAAAATCTGTCTTACCACTATAATCAATTGAAACTGAAACTGAGTTCTCAATGTATATCTAACAATTTTTTAGGCATCCTAAATTTCTTTTTAACCTTTTTTGGTGGATTTTGCTTAAGGCTACATTGATTCCTTGAGGATTTGTCAATGAAAATTTCAATGCACTTTTCCATTTCTTTGCTGGCGATTTTCATCAATTTTATGTTTTCTTAAGTGCAACGTTGTCTCTACATTTTCCACATTTGGATACTTTTCCTGTAGAACTTTCCGACCTCTTGGACTGATTTTCATTTGATCTTATTGTTTTGCTCAACAAGTTCTATCCATAATATCACTTATTCACTTGTTGCGTCTGATTTTTGTTTTTTTTCAATTTCACGGACTATTTCCACCTACGTTTAGTGCGTATATTCAAATGCTTTGTATACTTTTTACATTTTAGTAATAAATGCCCTAATTTGTCAAATATATTGGATATGTTATTCAATAATATGATGTTTTGCATTAGTACTGAAGTGTTTTAGCATGTTAGCAGAAAGTACTCAAAATGTACTCGTAAGTACTTTTTCAATAAGTACTTGTACTCAAGTGCATTTTATAGGAAAGCACTTTTACTGTACTTAAGTACACATTGTAGATTGTAATTAAATTTGTACTTAAGTACCTTTTTAAAAGTACTTTAACAGCTATGGCAATAAATACACACAGGCGCCGCTTTGCCGACATCACTGAGTATCTATCGACTTTTACCCTGGAGTTGCTACCGTCTGGTAGTATCAATAACGTGTTTGAATTTCAGAATCTGAGTAGGCCTACATGAACGTGAATGTAAATTCGGCTCTTGAAAGCTCCCCCCCCCCTCCTCTACCCCACTCCCTTCCGCATCATTAAAAAATATTTGTGTGTCAGAGTGAACACAGAGCTCTTTTAAGTTGAGGATCAACATCATTTACCGTAATTTCCTCTTGGCCACCTATATTCTCAAGGTGAGAATAGATCATGACCCGATATTCTCACCTCCACCCCGGCGTGGGTATGAGGCGAGGACTCACCCCTGACCTCTCACAGGCGGCAAAATCACCTAGGCCCGAGGTGGCTCACCGCATGTGGTTGGGAAATGACCCGATAGTATAAGAACATATAGCCCTGAGTGCTTGTATACCTCTACTACTGATTGCCGTTGCTAACCACCTCTATACAGTAGAGTTGACTTCATCTGTACACATTACGGACAGTGGAAAGTCCAAATATCGAGCACTATTATCTTGGCATAGCATCAAATTTTTATTATTTTTGCTACAAATTCACTGTTTTGGGCCACATCGGATGCCGTTCTTGGGCAATTGATTTTATTTCAAATCCCTTGATAGTAAATGTTGACTGCTGCTGATTCTACTGCTCTGTCCCTGTGGTTTTATGCACACAAAAAAAATAATAATAAAAAAAAATAATAATATGAAAGTATGCAAACTGAGCCCCAAAAATGTCAAAGTATACGATTCTGTTAATATTAACAAAGAATGATGAAGGAAAATAATCGGAAATTATGAAAAAAAAGCACA